CGGAATGGACCACAATTCCGACACACCCACGACACCCAGCACATCCACCAGGCCCAACACCACCCTCGCTCCATCGCCACACGCGCCCACCACCGCCATCACCACCACCACCGCTCCCTCTACAGCTGACACCGACAACGTCGACCTCTGATGCCCACACTGTTCACGCACATTAACCTCACACATCGGCCTGATCGGTCACTTGCGAATCCATCGCACAGAGACTGGCGAACCAGTGCCTGGAGCACCAACCTATACCCACCAAGCTAGACTCAACTGTCCACACTGCCCTCGCACTTTCAGGCATCGCATGGGCCTATTCGGACACATGCGCATCCACGATGACCTGCGGTAGACAACCGCCGGTTACACCACACATCCACACACTCCCTACCTTCCTCCACCATCACCACCACACATCAACACGCACCCAACTGCCACCTCCCAGGCAAGTGGGAAGTCAGCATCTCGACTCGGTCCCCATGCGGCTTCGGCTGCACGGGTGACTTGAGTCCGAGACTATCCCGACACATCAAGCGTCATAGATAGGAAGGTTGCTGGTTGACGCCTGCTCTCGGTTCACGCAGTTCGTCGCGTTGTGTGTGTGTTGTGTGGAGTGGCGGACTCGTGGGCTCGGGACGGGCTGAAGTTGCATCTTCCACGGCACTCTCGCGCAAGTGAGAGACACGCCGTTCAACCCCCGTTGTGTGAAATCCTGGTGTTGTGTGTATGGGGGGCCAGGTCGTGCCGTGGTGCGCGCAGTCATGGTCAGTCGACCATGATAGCCACCGCGCCCACTCCCCACTCCAGTCTGCTGACCGGCCCGGACAGCGGCTGGGGTGTGGGAGTGGGAAGGGAGAGTGAGGTCGACGACTCAGCGCACTTTCTCCTCACTATAAACAATCTGACGCGCTTAAAGCCATCACGGTGCGCTAAAAGCCGTGGCTTGGAAGGTTGGCAACTGACGGCCTAACTTGGACCTCCTCTTTGACTGGAGGCGGTCTGAGAGTCAGGCTGCAATGGCTCCTTTTTAATGTGGCCTCTATGGCACTCCCACCACAGTGTGGGATCCGGGCCAGGCGTTGGCGGCACGCCTAGGTGCGGCTTCGGTCGTGCCAGCCTCCAAATCTCTGCTGTTGGTTGAAATCCTGGTTATTGTTGTGTGGACCAGGGGGTGTGGTGGAACGCCAAGGTGAGGATCCGTCCGAGCCATCCACCTGCGGCCTCCCTCGTCTCCGGTCTTCTGGACTCTGTCTTGACACCGGGCTCGGGCGAGGGAGGAGGAGAGAGTGTAGGTAGATGTTACGCAAGTCTACTGGCACTATAAACCCCTGCGTAAGTCACCGTCCTGCTCCCACTGCTACTGCAACTGTGGGGCACACGGTGGACATCATCGAAACCGATGGTCGAACTGTCAGTAGCAGAGATAAAGAAAATAATATAAATTGACACCAGGGATGTCACACTCCCCGCGAAGTGACGGTCTCCGATGGCCTGAAAGCGTCACGGGGTTTCCATTTGATCCACTTCTGCTTCGAGTGGACAAATTCGGCGGATGTCCCTCCGTACATGACCTTTTGCTCTGCTAGCGGTGACTCCGCGAATTAAGTTGTCCTATCCTGCGTGTACTTCTTCGATTTTCGCCTTGGGCCAAACACCTCGGAGTTTGTCTGCCTCTATTAGCAGAACGATTTGACCAATCCTGGGACTCGGTTGCGCAGATTGCCACTTCTGACAAACTGCGAGTGTCGGTAGGTAGACTCTTAACCATTTCTGCGAAAATGTATCCGCTAGGAGTTGTACCTGTCGCCATCTTCAATTTAATTTATTCTTTGGAACAGTACTTGGTATTGGCTCGGACAAATTACTTCTTAGTAGCAGCAACTTATTCGGTGTAAGTAAATATTGATCATCTGGGTCGCCACTCTGTCTTACTAACGGCCTGTCATATAGAATTCGTTTAATTTCAGTTATAGCCGTATGTTGAACTTCATTAGTGAGGCATTGTTCTTCTAGCACCACAAGGATAATTTGTTTGATTGCACGAATCATTCTTTCCCATACACCACCTCTATGACTGGCTCGAGGGGGTTGAATACCCAGTTGCACTCACTGATCGGCAACGATTACTCTATTTTGTCCTGGTTCCACATTTTAAACAGTTTCTTTACGTCGCCTTCGGGACCCTGAAAATTTCTTCCGTTGTCACTGTATAGTCGCTGTGGACAACCTCTACGTGCCACAAATCGATTGAAATCACACAAGAAAGAATCAGTATCTAAAGAGTGCGCTACTTCCAGATGCACAGCTCGAGAACTGAGGCAGGTAAACAGACAACCATATCGCTTTTCGACGAAACGTTCGCGTTTAACGAACTTAGGACCGAAATAATCAACTCCTGAAATCGTATGGGGGTTGCGAGACCGTTCAGGCCGATCGAGGGGAATCGGAGCCATTGCTTGTTGGTGGGGTCGAGAAAACTATCTCCGACACTTAAGACATCTTTTTAACGAAGATCTTATCGTTTTGCTGGCCCACAATATCCAGTACTGCGTCCTTATTGTAGACAGAATATGGCTTTGTCCCATATAATCGTCCAGTTCGTGATAGTGTTGGATTGGTAGATGCGTCACAAAGTCTTGGGACGGCAGAATGATCGGATGTTTAGTCTCGAGCGCTAGATAACTGTTCTGTAGTCGTCCCCCGACGCGTAACACTCCATCCACGACGATTGGTGTAAGGCATCATAACGAACTAGATACATTGCGAAGAGATTTCCGGTTAGATTATAGTTGGTAGCCCTCCTGACACCGCAAACTCAAAGCTGCCTGTCAATCGGGACCGGTGTTAATAGGGGCTATACGGGGAGGACAATTGAGTGGACGGGTAATTGGCGATTGTAGTATATGCTAGGAACTGGCGCTCCTGGTAAAGTGGAAGCCTAATTTAGATTAGGTGAAAAATAGAAGGAAGGTATGGAAATGAGCAAGGAGACTTTGAACGGTGTGTGGAATAAATGCATCCATGCCTCAGATTGGAAAGAAAAGCAAGTGAATGCGAACAACCAGTGGGAAGAAGGCAACTGGTCCGAAGGTCATTCCGCAGTGTAAGCGATAGAACTCCATCCAACATAATGGACAGAAGGACACGAGAGTCAAGCAGCGGCACGCGGAACGCCGCAACGCAAGCCGGGCAAGACTTTTATGCGGAAACCTGGTTTGGACGGAAGAGAAAAGCCGCAAATAATGAGGCAGTCGAAAGCTACCTCTGCTGATGAAAGTTGATAAAGGGTAAGCCTCATTGGCATCGTTACCAGTGCCAATCCGCCCAAGATAGTACCTCTGCGATGAATGAGGCAGTCAAGAGCTACCTCTTCTTATGATAGTTTATGTAGGGAAAGCCTCATTGTCATCGTTACCGGTGCCCAGGATAGTACCCCCACAATTAATCTGGTACAGGTAATACAGCACGCATGCAAATTTAGAAGCATAATGAGAACTTAATCATAGCTACTGAAATCAAGCCAGTAGGTACAATTGTGGATTATGTGGGCACGGTTGCCAACTACCTTTTCTAATGAAATTTGACATAGGGTAAGCCTCATTGTCATCGCTACCGGTGCAAATCTGCCCAGAATAGTACCTCTAAAATGAATCTGATACAGGCAATACAGCGTGCGCGTGAATTTAGAAGCATAATGAGAACGCAATCACAGCTACTGAAATCGATCTAGTAGGTACCATTGTGGAGTCTGTGGGCACGGCTACCAACTATCATCTTACCAGATTTCCTTTTGGCACCGCACCGTCTAAGTGCATCATCAAGGTATTGCTTCTAATTGCACCATCCTTACAATTTCTGATGACGCCTCCCTCATCTCTGCCAATGTCAGTTTACCCTTTAGGGTTGTGTAGGGATTCCTCAAATATCCTTTATAACGAAGAATCCAGGCTACGCATCTTTGAATTTTCTTCCACGAGGCTAACTGTCTATAGCAAGCGATCATTGTCGCAGTTTGCTGAAGTAAGCCGACACGTCCTGAGTCCGAACCGAGATGTGTCATTACGCAAGCATCTTCTACGACTGTGAATGATTGTTCTGTTAGAAACAGCGGAAATTCAGGACCATTTTTCCAACGTTATAGCTTATTTGTTTCGTCCGCAAAGACACCACGGGATAGCAGGTCTGCGGGATTCCGGCGAGATTCGATGTATGGCCATTCGTCTGGACTAGAGAGATTGTGTATAAACGACAACCTATTGGAGAAGAAGGTGGGAAAACGTTTTGAATTGTTGAATTGTTGCGAATGCTTTGGAGCACCACTAGAAGGCCTGTCCAGCGGAAAGTTGTTGAAATCATTACGCTCATTTCTGTGCGGATCAACCTGGCTGTTGTGCAATTATTTACCTTACTAACAACACAGGTATTCGCTAAAAGCCCAGACCCACGTGCTTCGCCGATCTTATGCCGCTGCCTCAGGCAACTGCGAGGGGTTCGGCTTGTCAGTGGGTCCCCCATTTTTTCCTGTGTGTTTTCTGGTATATGAACTCCAGTTTTAACTTGCC